GGTGTGAGTGCACTTCCTGCCGTAATGCGCTGATGATAAGTGAGCAGGAAGCAGAAGCTCTCATATGAGGTTATCTGCTCTGGGTGAAGCGCTGAAGTTGAAAGCAGTTTGGGAACATTTTGTTCCGAAGCACCAGCCACATCAAGTTGCTTGACTATTTTTAAGCTGCTGCATTGGAAACCTTTACTTATATTTTATCTTAAACAGGATTCAGCTTCTCTAACTAGACCTGCAGAATCACTTCTAGATCTGACATGCAAGAAATTAGCAGCTTTTGTTTATATTTTTAGTTGAGGCACAGCTTGATTAGACCAGGACTGAAGCTATCAATTATTTTAGTAATCAATTAATTGGATATAGAAAATGAATCCGATTGATATTTTCATCTATGCAGTTGTTAGGATGTGTATCCATGGCAACGCATTGGTTGTTTTTGAAACTGGGAGCAGCTGATTAGCATCTGAAAAGCTGAAAGAAACCCTAGAGGAGCTGAAAAGGAGGCAGAGCAGCACCAAGAGCACAGAGACTAAAGAGGAGTGGCAAAAGCAAAGGAGGCAGATTAGCAGAGCACTCAGAAAAACAGAAGACAAACATAATCATGTTTCCAGGACAACAGCATCTGCCTGACTGTGTCATGTGTAGCAGAAAGTTTGGTGGAGGGATGATTACGGTGTGAGGCGTTTTTTCTTTTTTTATTATTTAGTTTAGTTTTTTTAGTTTAGTTTTTTCAGTTTAGTTCTAGTGAAAGGAAACCAAGACATTTTGGACAATGTCAAACAACAGCAGAGTTTGTAGTTGGTACATGAAGCTTCAGTGAGCAAAGCGAGGTCCATGGCAGGGGTCAGAAATCCTGGCCCTCCAGGCCTGGATAGCCCACCCCTGGTTATAAACCCGTTTCAAGTTTTTGTTTACATCTGGAATTTTTGCACATGCGCACAGCGCTGCAGAACAATCCGCTAACAAAATGAAACCTGGAGATGAAAGTATTACTGATTCAGTGCAGTGTGCCACAGCAGAGGGAAAAATAACCCGCTGAACAACAACTCATTCTTCCTTTTTGTCGCTCTCTGTGTCGGCTACGCCATATGCAGACTTGTTGACATAGCAACTGACTGACAACAGCTCCACTAGTGTATCAGGATTCAACAATAAAAAAAACACTCAAACATTTCTCACACAACATTCAGTCCGCTGCTGTTTTATGTTCTTAGATTTGATGTTTGATGAAAATTTCCTGACCTTGGTATCTAGTTGTCGTAGTGTTGACAATTAGTAGCAAACTTTTTCTCTTATATATTATGCGTACATTTAAGATTTAGAGCATTATGTTGACCACTTGACAGCTAATGCTAATGCTAGTCATCATTGGCGAGCGGGAATATGGGGGCGGGATACTGAGCATTATGTCATGCTACAACATGTCTATAAACTCGTGTAACAGTGAAATTGGGATGAATTAGAGATTAGCTGGTCTTCTCATCCAACATCAGTGTCTGACCTTAATGCTCTCCTTAAAGATCGACCACAAAAACTCAAATCCACGACTGAACATTGGAGGGTTGAAACCATCTGATTTCTCCTCTCAGCTGTAAAACAATATTGTTTCACAAACTGAGTGGAGTGCAGGCCGAGTTCTCATCAACTTCACCTGAACTCTTTCCAGAACCACCAGAACTTCCCTGCAACACAACGTCCTTGAGGAAGAAACACAGAGCGGTTTAAAAGCAGCTCAGGTTCACCTTTACAAATAAAATCTGTTGTTGCCACACAAAGAATTTATTATCTTTGTCTCTCTGGATTTCACTGCGCCGCAAATATTTTTCATTCCTGGAACAATCAGGCGTCGTAAGGAGAAAATAACCCCAGAATCAATATCTGCTCACTGGATTCAACGAATGCATCCCACTGGCAGGCAGGAATGAAAAGGGATTTCATCTGAACTAATAGATTTACGTCTCCATACATGCTGTACATGCCTGCTGCCGCTCCCGGCTCATTTCATTAAAAGCTATTGTGTCGAGGTGTGAATCCTCTGCAGCTGAAGCGGCTACATATGTAGCTCTGCTGTCATACGTTAGCAGAGAACGCGCTGGCAGCCGCCGTCGCTAACATCGTGATTATGTTGAGTGAAACAGAAAAAATAAGGATATGATGTGAGCTATCAGCGAGCGAATCAATCACTTCTCCTGTCCCTACGTGCTTCCGAGGTTTCATTATGAAACATCAGCGAGTCATTTTCCAGCTGAGTGCTGGGAGGCAGCCTCTAATTCCCTAAACTCCAACTGAGTCAATATTGCATCTGAAGTGCGGCTGAACATATGCTCGGCTGCCGGAGACAAGAGTTTAGCTGCAACTCTTTGTCATCATTTCCAGGCCTCCATCTATTTATCTCAACACGCATCATTAGTCCAAACAGGAAGTTATTGCTGCCTCGACATCTGCTCAGCTAAAGCTGAATGTGGAATCAATTCAGAGGAGATTTCTGAACGACAGTTTTTAGTTATAAAGAGTAAAAATAACAGAGATAATTTGGGTCAGTCAGTTATTCATTTTCTAATGTCACAGTTTGAAACTAAATATTTAGTTAGCTTAAACCTTAGAGCTAGATATTTAGAAAGATTTAGTTAACCAACTAACTATTCAGTTTCAAACTAAATATTTAGTTTGAATCAAAATATGCATTTAGGAAGCTAAATAGCTAAGTATTTAACTCCAAACTCTATTTAGTTACCAAGCTGAATATTTAGTTATCTGATTAAATATTAAGCTTCAAACTAAATATTTAGTTAAGAAACTAAATATTTAGCTAATCTAAATATTTAGTAAGCTAAATGTTTAGCTAACAAGTGAAATATTTACACCGAAACTAAATAATTAGTTATCAGGTCAAATATTTATTTTGAAGCAAAATATTTAGCTAAAGCTCAAAGCTAAATATTTAGTTCAGCTTACTAATTATTACTAACTAATAATTCAGCTTACTAATTATTAATGCTAATAATGTATTTATCTTGGGTTACACTTTATTTGAAGGGGGTGAATAAGACTGGCATAACACCTGTCATAAACATGTCATAACACCTGTCATAAACATGAATAAGCCTTCATGAATATTTATGACTGTTGTCATAAAGCGTCATTCGGTAAATTATGACACTTTTAATACAAAGTTGACATTATTCAAAATGTCTTTGTTATGACAATAACAAATATATATACACACACACACACACACATTAAAATGGCATTAAAATGACTGTCATTAAAGCGATAGAGTAATGACACTCAATGACATCTTCATCACTGGTTTACTGTGCTGCACTTTAACAGAGGAGGATAATGTCACAACTATAATGGTCTCATGACAGCAAAAGGTATGTGTAACAACAAGTGACTTGTTAATGCTGTCTTATAAGGATAAGATTTTAAAATTCACCTGTTATGACATTCATGACAAGTTATAATTTCGTGCTTAGCTTAAGTTGTCATGACAACGACATTGTTGTCTTCGGTAATGTCAAGTTGTGATGACGACATTTTCAATGTCAATTTTGTATTAAAAGTGTCATGATTTACCGAATGACGCTTTATGACAACAGTCATAAATATTCATGAAGGCTTATTCATGTTTACGACAAGTGTTATGACATGATTATGACAGGTGTTATGACATGTTTACGACAGGTGTTATGACATGTTTATGACAGGTGTTATGACATGTTTATGACAGGTGTTATGTCATGTTTATGACAGTGTCATATCAGTCTTATTCACCCCCCCCTTAGAATAAAGTGTTACCTTATCTCGCTAATTAAACATTTAGGTTGAAGCTAAATGCTTAGTTTCAGAACTGGATATTTAGCTTGCTAGCTAAATGCCGACCCGAAGACGTAACCGACCCGAAGACGTTACCGACCCGAAGACGTAAAAGACCCGAAGACGTTTATTTCTGCATGCGAGAGAAGTTACCAGCAGATCGGATGTTTAATTTAATTTAATTCAGTTTTCTAAACAATGTTACTGCATTTTGTGGCCTAAATAAGATGCTTTCTTTCAGCGAAATAAACAGAATCTCTTTCTGTTTGACAAACATCAACTCGGTGTGTCTGTAACTCTTTCAATAAACAAATTAATAATTGAGAATTATACAGAATCTGAGCTGAGAGGAAGTGAAGCTAAAACACGCCTTGGTAGAAAATGTTTTAAGTTTTTTCATCAAACTTTAAACATTTTTGGGAAGTTTTTTCATATTTACTGTTGCGTATGAAGGCTGTAGACAAATAAGACGACAAGAAAACGCTTGAAATTTTCCCGAGTTGAAAAGTTGATTTTTTTTATTTTTGGAAATTTTCAGTTTCAAAACTGATTTTTTTTTTCTAGCAATTTTTTTTTTGCTAGAAAAAAAAGCAGTTTTTTATAGCAAACTTTTAACTTTCAGACAATTCTGTTCTATTCTTTAAAAAAATCTGAAATCTAAAAATTTCAGATATTTTTCTAGCAAATTTTCAACAATTCAAACTCAGAAATTTCCTTTTTTTTAAGATTTCTGAGTTTTTTTGGATCAAATAATCCCTTTTTACTCTGAAACGTTGCACTGGTTGTGCTGCTTTTCAGGAAATAGCATATTTTCGAGTCTCTATGCTAAAATTAACAATTAATTGCTAAATCAGTTGACATTTATTTCAATAATTAATCAGTGATTAATTAATTAATCCAATTAATTTAACTGCTATGCATTAGAAACAAACCAAGCTACTGATATTGTTTTCCTTGGAAATCATGCCGTTGTTTGTCCCTAAATTATCTCCATTCATAAAAGAAAAAACAATTAAAATCTCGTTTCAGTTTTTCTCTTCTGGCCGTCTCTGTTTTCTCTTTTTCCTTGTTTTCATGGATTTTTCATGTTTATTTGTCGCGACGTTTCCACCTTCAGAAACAAGTAGGTCACATTGAGACGGCTCATGTTTCCTCTGGGGAAACGTCGAGGAGAAGTTTCTTACGAGCTGATTACCTACGATCTGTCTGCGAGGATCAGCAGAATAAACTCTGAATATTCCTGAGGGAGACGAAAAGCCGGAGTTTAGACATCACAGCCGAATTCCTGAGGGTCCCACACCTGAAGGCCGACGTTATACACCCAGACAGACTTCAGAAGAAACAAACTTCGGCTCCCAGGTAGACGGCTGGAATCGCTCTGTGGGACAGAAAAGAAGAAACTTCGTTTTACATAACAAAGACCAGCAGGAATCAGAACCAGACTGGAGCGTCAGGCAGCAGAGCAGTCAGTCTGGGAGAGCTGGAACGATTAATCGTGATTAATCAAGTGATTTAGTAAATGAATAATCGTTAACAGGAGAATACGAAGTAAAAAAAGGCAACTTTCTGAAAGAACAACACAAAGATGTAACTGTATAAAAATATCTTTAGTTTTAGCTTAACTTGGTTAACATCCTGAAAAAAATCTTTTAAGCAACTTTTGCTGAATTGATGTGAAGCAGAGGTGAGTTTTTCACACGTTGATGTTGGAAATAAGTTTTCACTCAAGGAATGCTGCATTTAAGCAGTAAAAGTTTTATGTTCTGATTTAAAAATTGTTTGCATCTTTTAATTTTTAATCATTTATAAAAATGTGGCTAAATGAAAACTGCAGAATATGCTAATCTTTTTTATCCGATTAATTGACAGAATAACTAATAATAATTGATTAGTTTTGCGATCAAACGAGACTCAAAGTCTGCAGAGGAAGCGGCTCAAACATTTTAAATTAAAAATTAAAAAGCCATAAATCAGCAGCATGTTTGTTACTGGGATGGATAACCTTTCCCAGTCCTCCCACTGATCTGGTTGCACTGGTACCATCATCAGCGCCGCTCTGACCCGCTCCATGAACCCAGTATGAACCATATAAAACCACCAGGGCGTCCCACTGTTCCCAGTCCAGCCAGTCTGGAATCGCTTCCGCCATAATGAGCTTTTCCATCAGATTAATTAGTTTTTATTAACGAGCTGCTAACGGCCAGCGCAGCAGGAAGCGAAACCTGATTGACTCAAACCAGAGGAGCCATTTCAGGAAAAGAACCGGTTCAGGAAAAGAACCAGTTCAGGAAAAGAACAGGTTCAGGAATAGAACAGGTTCAGGAAAAGAACAGGTTCAGGAAAAGAACCAGTTCAGCAAAAGAACAGGTTCAGGAAAAGAACAGGTTCAGGAATCACTTCCTGCTTTCCTGACTGGTGGAGAGAATCTGCATCCAACCGTACATCCATGTGTTCATCCATCCGTCCGTTTCCATAGTTACACTGATTGTTCGCAGCTCATTGTTGCTGTCAGTCTCCTGGTGACTGAATCCATTCAGAATGAATCATTTCATTATTTCACTGGGAGCCAAAACTTTCTCCAGTTGAGTAAAAACTGCATCAGGTTTAATGTGGAGCTACTTTTTATTTTTTATGTCTGTCCCAGTAATCATGTTTAATAATTATAATCTGAAATAATCCCTGGATGTTTAATAATTATAATCTGAAATAATCCTTGGATGTTTAATAATTATAATCTGAAATAATCCCTGGAGGTTCGGACTCACATGTTGATGTTTTCACCTAAAACAGGTTTTTGATTTTTCTCGTCTCCTAAACATTCCTCTGGTTTTCCGTCCAGACTTCGTGGAAAACGGTTTCCGCTCCAACAATCTGGCTTCAGTCAGACCCGGTTCTGCCTCACATACAGAACCAGAACCAACTGGGCCGCAGTGCAGAACCGCCACAGGACTCACCTACTAGCATAAATATGTGTGTGCGTTTGGAAGCATTAGCATTCCATTACTAAGGCTGTGATTAATGATAGCATTAATGCTGATCATATCTGTCATGGAGAGAATCAGCGTTTCAGGCCCTGCGGCTTCCAGAGAGCAGAGGAAGCCGATAAGACCGCATTAGATCAGAAAGGCTCATATTCAGGCAATTAAGATGTCAGGAAGCCATTCTCACTGCGCGGACGGAGAGAGAGCAGCTCCAGCCAGCAGGCCAATATAAACCCACCACACCAAAGCCAAACGTCACGTTGTTGCTCAGAACTGCTGAAAATCCAACAATTTCAATTCTGCTTCACATATTTTACAATTCTGAGAAAAGTTTTACTTTTTATCCTTCATAGAAAATACATTAAATATAACCCCCTTCCCTCTGATACGTCGAGATAAAATCAATTACCTTAAAAAATAATTCATGAATATGTGGAGATAACTCTGAGGTTTAAAGGAAATGAAGGACTTTGACTAGGCCTGTCTCGAAAGTCATTACAATCCTCTCCAGATCTCCTTTAAGTAAAGCAAAGGGAGCAACTAGATTCTTCTACGGTATGCCTGATATGTCGAAAATATAAAATAATTAAAATTTTATTTCACTGATAAAAACAGGAAGGAAAAGCACATTGAACATATAAAATTAAATTAAAAGGCTGCTGGTGTTTTAGCTGCATTTTAAAATAATCAATGGAACTGGGTTTCCACCCAATATGGCTGGAAAATAAAAAGATATGGGCGAGTTGTTAAAATATTGGCTGCTTTTCACATTTTAAAAATGCTTCAGAGGAAAAGTATTTCAAAAGAGTTGTCACTGTGTGACAGAAAAGAAAAAAACTTTTAATAAAATGCTGTGATACTGCACTTATCTTATAACTCAGGTTATTTTTAAACCTCTAGAATCTGTCGATTGTGACATCATCAATGATTAGTCATGGGCTAATCAAGCCTCACTGTGCAGTAGAATTGTAAAACTGAAATTTCAGGGCAACATCATGACTGTAAAGGAGATTTGGGCAGTTTTTACTTTGTTTTTGGGCTGGAAACTGTCAGTCAGATCTGGCAACCCTTGTTGCTAGTTGCTAAATTGGCGACAGTGCTTCTCTTGAGCTGATTACGCCCAACTAAACCTCCTCCACTCATCACCAGACCTGGCCACGCCCCCTTTGTATTTTGGCTTGGCTCACTTTAGGGGGCGTGGTCATTCTTTCACAGGGTCGTAACCCGTTAAAATTAAAAGAAGCATAGCGTTGCCATGGCCTAGTCAAAGTTTAGACTGCCACATAACTGAAATGCTGCTCTAAGTCTTTCTGAGTGAAGAAACGTTAGAAAGAATTTCATTTAAGCTCCTCTTAGTTAATTTGCCATCATTTTTATCGAACTTTCATTGGATCAATGAGGCAATAAACTGCTTTATGCAACATGATTACATGTTTTTGATCATAGTATTAAACTTTATCTGCAGTGAACAGTTGGGAGTTTAAAGCCCTGCAGCAATAAACTGATAAATATTCATCTGTTGCCACATACTGAGAAAAGCCCTCAGCAAGCTGGACTGTGATATCAACCCATCTAATGTTTAGAAGGATGTATCGCCCCGCGTTGAGCTGCAAACACGCCTAATGAATCTGATCGCCTGTACCAGTAACTTTGTTTGCTCCTATCAATCCCAGCTTCCCCTCCAGCGCAGATTTTTAATTACAGCGGCTGCAACTCAACCAACAAAACTTGAGAGAAAGCAGGAGGTTTCCTCCCGCCGCGCTCCCCGAGAGGAACTCATTTACATCCGTCATCTTCAAAGCAGGAATATAATACGGCTTGTTTCCATAAAGAACTTCCTCAATTTGACTTTTCAAAGCAGATGTTGATCTTTATTGTGATTTTAAAGATTTAAAATGGGGCAAAACAGCCAGTTCTCCTTATTCTAAATTACATTTCTCTTCCAAATGCTCTTTTTCATTCAAAACTTTAGCTTATATCAACATGTGACATGTTCACTTTAATCTGTGAATGAATCACAACAACAAATAAATAAATGTTTTTATATGTAAATGCCTCATTTTAAACACTTTCATGGATTAATTGTGTTAAACCTCCACATCAGAATGGCAGTAATATTTATCAGCTCTATATTCCTGGTCAGTAGGTTGGAGTCTTTGTACAGCAGGGGTGTCCAAACTTTTTGGGCAAAACTGTTGAGTCAAAAGTACATTTAAAAAACTAAAATCAACCCAATAAAAGTTGTCTGTTCGTGTACGAAGGGGATGTTATTCACTATAGAGCCAAAAATTAAAACATGACTTTTTGTGTTTGCCGAATTAAAAGAAAAGCATCAAGTTTAACTTTTTATTGATATGGATCAAAGTGTTTCAAAGTGCTTCATATATTTATTCAAGTTTAATCATTTAAATAAAAGCTGATTTCTGTGCAGCAGTCGACTTTTAACACATACATTTGATAAATTCCTGCCAAAACTCTCAGAAATTTTCTAGAAAATTCTTGAAAATTTCTGAGTTTTTAAATTTCTGTTCCAAGTTGAAAATGTTAAACTTTTCAAACTCCTAAAAATATTCTGACAAAAATGTCAACATTTCTGAGTTGACAGAAATGTACCCCTCTTTTATTTGTTGACTAAATCTATTTAATTGATGGCAAATTGTGCTTAATATTGAAATGAATGAACAGATCTGGGATTATTTAATCAAACTGTTTTCCATTCTTTGCAGATCATGCATGTCAAGCATCACTTTGGATTTTTAAAAACATTTTAGAGTGAAGATTTTTGTGGATCCCCAAGCTCCTGTTCTGACTGTAATTGCCAGAAGTCCTTCTGTTCAGAAATGTAATTTCCTGGGCTCTCCATCCTGCTGGCTGCCGGCCCGTGAAGCACTCCAGCTTTAATCACCTCCTGCTTACAACAATCTTTGTCTCGCCTAACGTCCCATCCGCCGCTTCACTTTCAGAGCCCGAGTCTGCAGGCATCGGTCCAGCAATTAAATCTGAAGGAGACACCTAAAGCTGACACTTTTTAAATAAAAAAAAACGTCGGGTTGTTTGGTAAAAGTCTCTGATCTGTAATTTTAAAGCAAGAGGAATAAAAAAGGCGACTTTCTGAAAGGCAGCAAAATTCTTCTGGTTTTTCTCATTTAAAAGAGTGAAAATGGAAGATTATACTAAAAATAGGAATAAAATCTAAAATTATGAATCATGAGAGGACAAGAAGAAAACCTGCTGGTGGAAAAACCAGGAGGATCCGACAGAAAGCTGATGAACTGAGAGGTGATTAGAAACAGCGTTCAGCTCAGATACATACGTGATAAATACACAACAAAACACACAAGGAATCTTAAAGTGTCAAATCCTAAAATAAAGCCTCATTGTAACACAAAAGGTCCTC